GGGGAGAGAGAGGGAGGGAGAGAGAGAGAAACATCAATGTGAGAAACATCTATTGGATGCCTTCTGTACGTGCTCTGACTGGGGATTAAACCCACAACCTTTTGGTGCACAGGACGATGCTCAACCAACTGAGCCACTCTGGCCAATGTTTTCTTTTAAATGGATCCACTTTAAAGGATATGGGGGGTTGGATGGTTGGTTGGTTTTATTTTTAGAGAGAGAAGAGAGAGAAACATTGATGTGAGAGAGAAACATCAATAGGTTGCCTCCCATATGCACTGACTGGGGATAGACCCACAACCTAGGCATAACAATTACTTTCTTTTAAAATACCTTAAACTACTTTCAAAGGATATGAGGGCAACTTTATGGGTGCTGTTAATGTTCTATTTCTTAATCTGGCCACTGGTTACAAAGGCATGTTCATTTTGTGACTAGTTATAGAGCTGCACACTTATGATTTCTGAATGTACATATTTCAATAAAAAGTTTTAAAGACTTACACTTTTGGACCTCACTCTATGAATAATAGATTCAAATTTGTTGTAATGAATCTCAAGGCTGCAGGAAACAGGGCTCTGTTACAAACCCCATCCTCACTGGGAGGAGACTGAAAATGGTTATCTACTGGTTTTTCCCAGCAGGCTTACAGGCTTTGGGTTAATCACAGTAATACCCACCACCAGAACTTCTGTCAGCCAGATATTAAGATAAAAAAGCAAATTCTGAGGTTAACAAGGATAATCAATTACTTTTCTATTCAAATAAATCATATTGTATATGATTACTCGCAGGGTAACTAGATTCTGTTTTCAAGACTGAATTGAAGAGTGATCCCTTGATCACTGAAGAGAGCTATGTTTACAAGGGCTTCAAAGGGTTTTCAGACCTCGGGCCCTTTTAGGTAACCTGAAGGATTAGGGAGGGGGCAGTAAAGAAGTTACCACTAGGATCTGGGCTGATCAGCCTGAACACCCATGTGAATCCTGAGAATGCACATCAAATATTCATCTCCGAGCCAAATTAGCACCTGTGAAGGCTCAGCTCTCAACACCATAGCTGCCTGCTCTGTGGCCCCCAACATGGTTGGAGATCATGCCTTACGCACAGAACAGACCAAAAGGGTATAGCTCCTGGCTTCTTCACTTCTGGGTATTAAATATGTCAGATGGGGTGGTGGGTCCAACCATCACAGACAGTCCATTCAGAAAATTATCCTCTGACTGGTAGGAAAAAGTGTTCTAGAAACACCATATTTTGGAGTAGATATATCTGTTTTTATATCTATTACTTAATTTTAGTACAATATGAAATTACAAATACTCAATATGCTAAGGCATCAGAGACCTATTATTTGGGCCCAGGGGTGCTTACTTCTGGCTTTTGGCTATCTTTCCTGATGTCTCCATCTCGTACATGGTCTGTAGCCGGCACTTCACGAGCTCAGTGGGGCAGAGCACCAGTGCAGCAAACGCAGAGGCAAAGGAACCAGCAGCTGCATTCTGCAGATCACTGAAAGGGCACAAGCACAGGAGACCAATTACCTGTCCTGTTCTTCATTCACACAGCACTCACCACGCTGAAACTCTCCAGTGGTCGAGGAAAGAATGCAAGGAAGGAGAGAAACAGTGCCTGAGTGCCCACCAGGAATTTTCATGTGCCGTTTTATCTAAGGATTCCACAAAGCTCTGAGGCTGACAGCAATACACCAATTTCCATGTGGGGAAATAACGCACCTAAAGCCACACAGCTCCCAAGTGGCAATGCTAGGATTCAAATCTGCCTGACTATAAAATCATACTTTTCATTGGTCACATGCTATGGACTGTGTCTCCCATCCCCAAACTCCTATGTTGAAGCCTTAACCACAATGTGACGGTATTTGAAGGGGTTCCTCTGGGAGGTAATTATGTTTAGATGAGATCATGAGGGCAGAGTCCTTATGGTGGGATTAGTACCCTTATCAGAAGAGACCAGAGAGCTAGCTTTCGAGCTCTCTCTGCCATGCAGAACACAACAAGAATGTATCCCTCTGCAAGCCAGGAAGAGGGCCCTCCCTAGACCAAATCAGCCAGCACCTCAATCTTGGACTTTCCTGTCTCCAGAACTATAAGAAACAAATGTCTGCTGTTTAAGCCAGCAAGCCAATGGTATTTAGTTATGGCGGCCAGAATTAAGACACAGTGACATACAAAACAAAACATGGAGAGGAGGAAAGAAATTACCCATAGCCCCACCACCCTAAAACATGCACTGTTAATACTCCAGTGTATTTTGCTCACTAAGCTTTAAATAAAACTAGCTTCTGAGGTCATCCCTACAAGCCCAAAACCCAACCTGGAGCAGACACATAACTCCACAGATGAAAATCCAAGATAAATTTTTAACCAAAAAGTTGCTCATTCCCAAAAGATTTCCCAGTTCAACTGATAACCTCCTGACCTCAGCAACACAGAGGGCATGTAGGAGAGCGCAAAGCTAGTGCAAGTCAGCAAGTTCAATGGTTGCAGGTAAAATGGCTGAGCTGGAAATATAAGTGGAGGAATGAATACACATAAATAGAAAAACAGAAGTATTCACCTCCTCATCTCATATCCGTTTAGTACCATCAGCCAGTCACCAGCAGGACTGTGAAACTTGAATCCAATAAAGTTCAAGAATATGGGAGAAAGTTAAGAAACAAACTCTCAGGAAAGCTTCCCTGAGAGTTCATGGGGGTCAGAAAAGACGACCCTTCCACCCCTGGGACAGTGTTTCATCAGGGGAGCATGACTGGCATGTGGGGTGGAACCACCTTTGCTGGGCAGGAAGGACAGAGCTGCTCCCTGACACCTCCATGTTAAATGCCAGCATCCTGCTGTCATTGGACAATCAGTACCACTCACAGATTTCCAAAAGCCCTGGGGGAGGGGGGGACAGGTAATCCCCTCAGCTTACTGCCCCAGGTACAGAGCCCCTTACAGTTTTTCTCCAAACTGTGAAAGCTTAACAGACCTACCACATTCAGTTATCTTAAAGTTACAATAAACCAATAGGTAAATAGACTGATGTCAAACATCAGTGTCAAATCAAGGGCCACCTCTATTCCCAATATCCTATGCCCTGGTAGCCCGGCCTTAGTGCCGCAGACAGATTAAGACAGTTATCAGGTCTCAGAAGGTTGGCTCGGAGTGGTTTTCTCCCAGGAGGAAGACAGTGCTTGCAGTATGGACTTCCTTTTGATTTTAGAGAACTGAGCATCAGACCATTTCCAGAGAAGAGCCAAATACACAGCTATGCTGGCATTAAGCTCTCTAGAGTGTAGAAAGCTGAATGCTCCATTCCTTCCGCTCCACTACTGCTTCACTGGGCTGTCAAAACCAAAGCTTAAAATGGTTTCTGCTGTCTTCCAGCCACCTGCAGATCCATACTTGGCCTCCCTCAGGGACTATCTGTCAACCTGCTGAGAGGCAATAGTCAATCAGGGTCATTAACCAGTTTGCCAAGTTTACTCGGACAAAGGTGGCATCAGTAAATGGAGCCACCCATTCAATCTAACATGGCAGTCATGGTTCAGACACCTGAACAAACACCTAGCACGTTGTTACAGTGCAACGACAAGGCCAGATGAGATCTGCAGTGGACTTTGGCTTTCTAATAAACACTTTCATCTACCAGTGCACTAAATGAGTTCCACGGGGCCCAGGTTGTGCCTAAAGTATAAGCGTTTAGAATTGGAATTGAAATGGCAACAGGCGTAGGATGAGATTTTGTAAGAATCGACTGTTTATCACCCGTACAACAAACATGTACCTGAACACTCCTGCCATGTAAGACCCTGTCCAGCCAAAGGTCAAAGAAGAACACCACTCAGGGCACTGTTCAAACCAAGAACAGACAAATATTTACAATATTATTGCAGAAATTCACAACAGGTTCTCAGAAGCAGTTCTTTCCTTTCACTGCTCTGCTTATGCATCTTTTATCTAGACCTGATCCCTACAAAACACTCCAGAGCCCCAACTATGGTCTTATGAAGAGAATGCTGGACAGGGGCTCAGAGATGGGCCGGAGTCCTGGCTTTTTCAGTCATCACCAAGTGACCTTGAAGTGCAGCATGTCAGTAGCTACACTTCATTTCCTCATCTGTGAAACATTAACACCCACTCTGCTCATCTCACAGGACCATGGTGAGGGCTAAACGACACATGTCAGGCTCTGTAACCTCCAGGGGCATTTCCCCAACAGGTGACAAGCAAACTGTTATGCAAGAAACACGACTCTGAGTTCAAAAACGAACAGAGTACTGGTTTAGGCCAAGGGAAACTGGATGATTTCTTTCCTGCAGGACTCCTCCAGATCCCTTGTGGCTGCTCACTGTTCCCCTGTCTTCTCCCCATGGGCTCTTCTCAAAGGATGCTGGAGGCCTACACTGTGGTCTCCTCAGTCCAGTGTCTCTCCCTTGAGCAAGACGAGCTGCAGTCACAACAGGTTCTTCCTGTCAGTATCTACTGTGGGAAAACTCACTCTCCTGGTTTGTCTCCTGCTTGTTTCCTGACTTCCTCTCCCCACTATACCGGAGGGTCCTAGGATCAATGCATAGCCCTCCATAGACACTATCTCCCTGAGTGAGCTCATCCAACCCCAAACTTTTAAAAAACAGGTTCCATCCATCAAGACAGCATTCCTGCATATAAAAGGGAACATGCTTAGATCTCTAGGCACCACTAAGAGAACATTTCTGTACAAAAGGAACCTGACTTTAGTCATGTAGGACCTTAGTTGCAATGGGATTTCAAATTCCTACCAAAACAACCAATATGCCTGACCTTTGCAACCATGAAGCTGAAATAATAGTTTTTAGTTATTTCAGGAGGCATGCCTAGACATCCCAGGGGTATCTAAATTCTTTTTAGTCTCTGTATAATAAAGGCCCAAAAATGACAGGACACAAGTCAAAGTCTGATGTTTGGGGGAGACTTGCCAAAGAAAGTTCGCCTGTAATTTCTCAGATACTTCTGACCCTTCCTAAAATTCCAAGTCTCTCCTCAAACCTATTTGGTTCAGGCAGCCTCTCCCAAGACTCTTCATTTTGCTGATGAAGTAGAACCTAAAGCTTGGGTCACAAGTTGCATCCAAGGTTTTATTCTAGCACCTCTGCTGACAAGAGAAGTAGCCCCACCATCAGCATCTAAAAAGCATTCCCCTGAAGAATGCCAACACCTAAGGGTGGCTCCTCCACAGCCCTGGCAATTCTCCCTTTGGGTAATGCAAATGTGCATTCCAACACAATCACAATGTATTCATAATCAGAAAGAATGTAGTTATTTTTAAAAAGGAAACATTCTTCTCCATAAAGTATCATAAAAATCTTGACTACACAAGTGTTTCTTTTTTACAAATCAAAAAAGTGTGAGTGTCTTCAATCACCTCAGCTTTGCCTGCTTGTCCAATCCCACCACTTTCCGCACCACCTGCTGGCAGAAGCCGTAGCACATGAAGAGGACAGAGTTCTCGGCGATGTTGGCGATGAGTGCTGGGCTGGTCCCCTTGTAGAAACCCCGGAAGCCCACCTGGGAGTAGGTCTTCAGGCAGCAGTCGGTGAGGCCCCTGTACAGGTCAGGGAATGTCTGCATCTTCACTTTCATCGTGTCGAACGGCTGCCCAGTCAGCACACAAGCTGTGCCCCCTGCAAACAGGACAGAAGTCTTCTATAGCACAAGTCTACTGCTGTGTTTTAGAGTGCAGCCTCAATCATCCATGGAAATGAGGGCCAGGCAGCCTACCCCAGCACTGACCCCTGCTTCAATTCATCTTGACCTCTTGCTCCCCCAAATCTTCTAAACCAGTCCAATAAACAACATATGTGCCTGACACCCAGCTCTAGTCCTGAAGGAGCTCACATGGAGAGACTGACGCGTGCTCAACAGTCAAAAGCTACTGACACAAAGGTGTGGCATGGGTTTAACAGCACTAGCAATGGGGTAAGGGGATCTGGGCTTGAAGCGTGGCTCTGCTGTGAGATCCTGGACAAGTGAAACAGTGATGGAACTGCTCCGCCTCAGTTCCCAGTAGGGTCCGTGTAAGGATCAGATGTAACAATGGATGATAAGGCTTAACATAATGGATGCTATATAACAAGTGATTAATAAATAACAGTTGTGCCCTTGCCAGTGTGGCTCAGTTGGTTGGAGCTTCATCCCGTGCACCAAAGGGTATGGGTTCAATTCCCGGTCAGGGCATATATTCGGGTTGCGGGTTCGATCAGTCAGAGGGCGTGCGAGAGGCAACCCACTGATGTTCCTCTCTTCCCCTCTCTCTAAAATTAAAAAACTATATATATCCTCAGATGAGGATTAAAAAAATAGCAGTTGCTCTGTGTATATGTGTGTGTAGCCATTATAAAAGGAAGGGGCGGGAAGTCTGGTAAGAGTTAATCACTTCTCTTTGCCTAATGTCTAGTGGTGCGGATCACTATCAGAGAAATAACAGAGGAACATGCAACAGATAAAGAAAACAGAGTGGCTATTTCATCCTTGAAGAGTTAAATATCTGACTCTATAGAAAAGCCTCTATTTGGACTCTACCAATAAATGATCTGTATTCAGATAGGGAATGAACTGAAACGTGCCTTTGCTTAGCAAAAATCCTATTTATTTGCTTTTATACTGTAAGAGTATTAAATATAGCAAATCTAAACTGCATTAGATTACTTCAAGTAAAATTCTTGAATGTAAAGAAAAGAAAGGCCTAAAATGACCCTAATATATCCCCAGGCCCTGGACTGAGTCTGCATTTTGGGAACTGCCACGGGCTAAAGTTCCACCTTCCCTTGGGTCTGCAACACCACCACCTCTCAGATGTCCCCTGCTTGTGTCAGGAAACAAAACCACTGGATGAGGTTATTAAAGCCTAATCAAAACTGAAGAGAAGGGTTGCATAAAGTATTTAAGAAACAAACTCACAGACAACAGTATGAAGGTTTACCAGAGGGGAAGGGGTTGGGCGGTGGATGAGGGAGGCTAGACCACGTGTGGTGAGCACACAGTGCAATATACAGATGATGCGTTACAGAATCGTGGACCTGAAACCTACATAATGTTCTTAACCAGCGTCACCCCAACATGTTTCTTAAAAATTTAAGAAATGCAATTTCATAACTTGGACATTATACATAGTTATTCCAACTCAGTTGTAGAAAGAAGAGATTGGGGAGAGGCTGCTAAGAGTAACTTCCAAATTATTACTTGAAAATAAACAGTTCCAGAGTCTGAAAACTGTTTGATCTCTTCTTATAAGCAATCACAAGTATGATCTTCGTGATCCTATCACTGCTGTTTGTTTCTTTTAGGAGAGTAGCAATATATTTCTGTCTTGTAGTATCTAATTATCTCCAATTCTGAAGTACTGGAATATAATTTAATAAAACATCACTCTTATTAGAGTTATTCTCTCCTAGGTACTGACAGGCCAGAATAAAATAAAATCCTAATTATATCAAAATAATTATAATTATTCCAAAAGAAGTGAATATCAGAATTTTTAAACTTGGTACACAATTTAGATGACTTACATGCAAATAAACTGAAAAAAGCATTCAATTCAGAGCATTAATATTTTAACTGGAAATATTCCATATTTTAACACGATTTTCCTGAATGGTCCAGATATCATAGGTTACTATAATATGCATTTGTTGCATATCTGTAACAGTTACACTTCTAACAGGAAGAAGGTAGGAGGCTCATGAATTTTCAAATGCTAGCTATAATTCTCTCCTTTCATCCATGGAGGTAAGCTAATTCCACAGGTAATTTACCACAAACAAATGATACTGGCAAGGCACTCATCGTGCCCCTCAGGTGGGTGATGACTATCCTGAACACCAGCACCAAGCACTGGGACCAGCATGTATCCAGATCCTACCAAGTCAATGAAGCTATGAATAATTTACAAGAGGGAGAGAGGGAGAAAGAGAGAAAGAAACATAGATGTGAGAGAAACACATCAATTGGCTGCTTCCACCACCCCCCC